ATATAATAGTTAATGTTGGAAGTATTTGAAACTTTTAAATATTTAATTTATAGTGTATATAATTATAAGATTGTTAATAAACTTTAAAAAAATTTGTTATTTTTAATCATTTTATATATTTAAACTTTTAACTTGGTCCAATTTTTATTTCATATAAATCAATTTAATAATAAATAATAAAAGAAAAATATTTATTAATTTACAGTTATATAAAATCAAAATAAAAAAAATTTTTAATAAATTTATAAAAACTAAAATAATAAAATAATTATAAATAAAATTTAAAAATATATACTGTATATATATTATAATTACACATTATAACTATTATAAGATTAATAGATTTAATAGATTAGCCAATTGTAATACATCTAAAAGTATGTTGATTTTAGTTTTATATGTTAATTTTTTTATTTAAAGTTTAAATTATTATTTAAAATTTTAAAATTTATTACTTTTTATAAAAATTATCCGACGTGTGTTCTAATCATTTAAGTAAATTTATAAATATTTTAATAATATAATCAACAAATATTATTTAAAAATTTACAGTTTTTTAATAATAAATTTAATTTTTAAACTATAAAATACTTTATTTTAATTTTTAAAATTAAAATTACTTAAAAAGTATTTATTATAATTAATCAAACTTATAATTATATATTCATTTTGTTGAGTTAAAACATTTATTAATTTAACATTTTTAATCCAGTTGAATTTTAAAATTTGTTAAACAATCTGCAAACTATAACATAATGTTATGATATTTTAAATGCATTAATTATTTTTATGTATATTTTTTTAAATAAAAATATTTTAATAATTATTTTTAAAAATTTGATATGATTGACTTGATTACATGTAAACTTATTTTTTATAGGAAAATATATTTAAATATTTTCAATAGTTATCAAAATATTATATTATTTGAATTATTTTGAAATGTTATCTAAAATCTAATAATTGTTGAAAACTGTAAGTTTTTTATAAATATATTATCTTTATAAGTGATAAAATTAAATTCAATATAAAACTAGACTACGCACTATCCCTTTTAATAATTTTATTTTATTTTAAGCATATTTGTTAAGGGAAAGTATGAAAAAAAACAAATTTTGTTTTTTTTTTTTGTGAAAATCGCTATATATATAAAACACTACATTTGTTTGGAGTTACAGTCTATAAGTTAATTAAATCTAATTATTTAATAAATTATATATTAAAATCAATTCTTTATTACAAAATATCTTTAAAATAATTTAGTTTAAACAATTGTAAATAAATTTTCATAAATATTTATACACAGTGACCAATGGTCATTTTTTGACCATTAATAATTAAACTGACCATTTAAAATTATTTTATAAATAAAACGTATTTATAATTATTTAAATTAAATTATTTTAAAGATATTTAGTTATAAAGAATTGATTTTAATATATAATTTATTTAATAATTAGATTTAATTAATTTATAGTCTGTAACTCCAAACAAATTTAGTGTTTTATATATATAGCGATTTTCACCAAAAAAAACAAAATTTGTTTTTTTTCATACTCTCCCATTTGTTAATCATATAAAATATATAATTTTCTTATATAAGATATTTTAATGATTTTTAATTTTATTTTTTTTTTGGTAGAATTTTGTTTTTAAATAATAATAAAATATTATTAGTTAAAAGTTAAGTTAAATGATCTAACAAATGTAATAAATGTATTACTAGTATAACTATATTAATAGATTGTTATTTATTTACAGTTTTTTATTTATATTAATAAATTATCATATATTTAATAATTAATATTTTGGTTACAAAAGTATTTTATATAAATAAAGTTTTAATTAATTTAGTTTATTAATAAAAAGTAAAAAAATTAAAATTATTATTATATATAAATAAAATTATTACATTTAAATTTACTAACAAATTACTAGTAATAATTTTCTTAAATAATATTATTGAATTATAGAGAGAGAAAAAAATCTCACAATTAATTTAAATTATTAATTTAATTATAATTTAATTTAATATAAAATATAATTAAATAATAATTAAACAAATCACAATAATTATTTTTTTTTAATTTCAATCATTATCTAAATTATTAAATAACTACAAAACAATACTTTATGTATTTATAATCATTAACTGTAATATAAATTATAAATTGATATTTTTATTTATTAATAATAATAATAATATATATAATTAGATAATAATAACTAATTATCTAATTTTTAGTATATTTGTATTATGAATTCGTTTTTAATTAAATAATTTTAAATTAATTTCTTTTATATTATAATTTAGCACTGGTTTGGCAATTGTCAGTGATTTGTCGGTAAAAAATGTTTTTTGTTTTGTTTTATATTTAAATATCGTATAAATCTTAGTTATTTTTTTAAAATTATTAAAACTATTTGAATTAGCTAATAAAAACATTTATATTAAAGTTTTAATAATTAACAGCTAATTGCAATAAATCTACTAATAGTATGTTGTTTTCAGTTTTTAATTTTCGTTATTGTTTTTTAAATTATTAATCCAATATATTTTCCATACAAGTGTATGATTAAACATTATCATTAAAAAAAATAAGAAAAATCATTGATAAAATTGATTTTCTATCTAATTATATATTTATTAAAAATTAATTATAAAACAAAAATTTTATAATAAAATTTAGTTTACAGTTATCTTAAAAATTTGATCAAACATTTTTTTTAAATTTACAACTAAACTTTATTTACTTATTCAGATAATAGATTTTATTTAAAAAACAATTTTTATTAAATTTTAAAAATAATTGATAATTTTAGAATACTTAAACTTCTAAGTCTTCTAATAACCTAATATATTAAAAATATATTTTTATAACAAAATATTTTTTTAAAGATTATTTAATTTTACAGTTTAATATAAAAAAATATATATTTAATTATTTTATTTTTTAATTTAAATTGATAGCTAATATTAATTTTCTAGTAAATTTTTACTATTTTAATCATCACTTTATAAAATAAAATAATTTAACTCAACTTTTAAAACTTTGAACTTTTCTTTTATTAAACTTTTCAATTATATTTTATATAAAATCAAATTTTTAAAAATAAATTTTTATTTTCAATCATTTATCAGTCATTTATTATTATTATTTTTTTCAATCTATTAAAATTCAATGGTATTGTTTAAACGGATAGTTAGGGTAGAGTCGGTATACCATTTAGATTGAATACACAGTTCCTGTAGTTTCGGTCCAATGACACAAACCGGTCAATTATTACGTAATTTTTTAATTGATATTTTTTTTGTTCAATAAAAATTTATAACTATTTATAAGATTTAATAGTTTAGCCAATTGTAAGCCAATTCAAAAACCCTCTAATAGTATGTTGTTTTTAATTTAATTTGTTAATAATATTTTTGTTATTTTAAAATTAAAATTATTATTTAAATTTTTTTTTAAATTTATTAGTTATTTAAATTAAAATTATCGATCGTGTGTTCTTCTTCTTGAAGTTAATTTATAAATATATTAATAATATAATAAAAAAAATTATTTAAAAATTTACTGTTTTTTAAAATAAATTCTATTTTTTTAATTATAAAATAATTTAATCAAATTTTATTGATATATAAATAATATTTTGTATATAAATGTTATATTATGTTTTTTTGTATAATTAAAAAAATAACAACAAAAAAATCATAATATATTTTTCTATCTAAGTATTTATTACCTAAATAATTATTAATAAAATAAAAATTAAAAATATATTTATCAAACATTTTTTTTTAAATCTTACAATTAAACTTTATATATTTATACAAATAATAGGTTTTGTTTTTTAAAAAAACATAATTTTTATTAAATTAAAAATAGTTTCTAATTTGTATATTACTTAAAAATTTAATTAATTATTAACTTTAACTAGTATTTAACTAAATATACAATGTTATATTATAAAAAAAAATATTATATGATTTATAATTTATAAATTTATTCAACAATAAAAATAATTTCCAATAAATATAAATATTAAGTCTAGCCTAATATATTTGAATAAATATTTGAATAATAACATATAATTTTTATGATTTTTTAAAATTTACAGTTTATTATAATATTTAGTTATTTAGTTAAATTGATAGTTAATGTTAATTGTTTTAAACTTTTAAAAAATTAGAAAAATTGTGAAGTAAAACTAATCATATATTGTAAGTAAATATTTACTATTTTAGTCTTAATTTTTGAAAAATTAAATAATTTAACTTAATTTTTATTATTTTTCAAAAAAAAATCTAACTTTAATTAGTATTTAACTAAATATACAATGTTATATTATAAAAAAAATATTATATGATTTATAATTTATAAATTTATTTAACAATAAAAATAAATATAAATATTCTGTCTAGCCTAATGTATTTGAATAAATATTTTAGTAATAACATATAATTTTATGATTTTTAAATTTACAGTTTAACATAAAAAAAATATATTTAATTTTTTTTAGTTAAATTGATAGTTAATGTTAATTGTCTTAAACTTTTTAATAAATATGATTTTTTTTTTTAGTAAAACTAATCATATATTGTAAAATAAATATTTACATATGTTGCATCTAAAATTTTTATTTATTATATTAAATTATTGCTAAATTTTTGTGAAATATTGTTTAATTGTTTATACTTTACAATCTTATAAAATTATATTTAATTTAAAAAATAAAAAAAAGTACCACCATACTTACGCCTATAATAATACATGTTATTTTAATAACAAAATATATTTTAATTGTTATTTTTATTTACAGTTTAATATAAAAAAAATATATTTAATTATTTTTTTTAATTAAATTGATAGTTAAAGTTAATTGTCTTAAACTTTTAAAAAAAATTTAAAAAAAATTAGTAAAACTATTCATATATTGTAAATAAATGATTTACTATTTTAATCTTCATTTTAGAAAAATAATTTAACTCAACGTTTAAAATATTTTTAAAAATTTGAACTTTTCTTTTATTAAACTTTTCAATTATATTTTATATATAAAATCAAATTTTTTTTGGAAAAAAATTAAATTTTTAATTTTAATCAGTTATCATTGAATTATTTTATGGTTTTAAAATTCAATGGTATCGTTGAACGGATAGTTAGGTAGAGTCGGTATACCATTGATATTGAATACACAGCTCCTGTAGTTTCTGTCCAATGACTCCAACTCACGGATCTCATCGGCGGTCAATTGAAAGTCAAATATCTGAATATTACTACGGATTCGGTCAACGCTTACGGACTTTGGTATAACTATTACACCTCTTTGGGCCTAAAATTTTGAAAACAAATATATATATTTAAAAAAATTATTTAAAATAATAATAATTAAATTAATAAATAATAATTATAATTAATAATTATAATTAATAATTATAATTAATAATTATAATTAATAATTATAATTAATAATTATAATTAATAATTAAATTAATTAAATTAATAAATTTTTTCACCTCAAATTTCAATAGTATTTGTCCGGCATTTTTCTTATACTTTTGGGCCAATCGGGTAACCACGGGATCCGTCAATAGTTTATCTTTGATAGCAGTTTCGGCATTTGCTTGCGAACCGGGATTACCCAGTGGTGAATAGGCAGTCAATGTTATACCCCGTTCCTCGCAAAATGCTTTCAATTTGGTTTGTGCCAAATACGGGTGCACTTCAACCTTATATCAACAAAAAAAATTAATAATAATTAATTTCAATATTAATATTTTACAAGTATAAGGGCTGTTTCACATATTACGTTCGCACTTGAGAGGAGGGGGGGGTTTGGCCAATGCAAACTTTTGCGAACAAGAGGAAGGAGGGGTAGAAACTTTAAGAACGTTATAATTTAGATAATATTTTATTTCTTGTGGTGGTCGAGGGGGTGGGGGGTTAACGGTTAGGAATATGGGAATGTATTTTTTTAATGACTACATGCGAACATAGGGGAGGGAGGGGTAAAAACTTTAAGAACGTTCTAATTTAGATAATATTTTATTTCTTGTGGTGGTCGAGGGGGTGGGGGGTTAACGGTTAGGAATATGGGAATGTATTTTTTTAATAACTACATGCAAACATAAGGGAGGGAGAGGGTCTAGATTTCTTAAAAAGTGCGAACGTAATATGTGAATCGCTCTATAAGTTTTTTTTAAGAAATAAAATAAAAAATATAATTAAATACCTGATTAGTAACCGGTTTAATAGTAGCCGAACCTAACAGTCGATCAATTTGTTTGCTATTATAGTTAGATATGCCAATCGACTTGACCAGACCGGCCCGGACAGCATCTTCCAACCCTTGCCACGCCTCCAGATAGTCGACACCACCGTCAATAACTATACCATCGGTACCGGTAGGTACAACATCGTCGTCTACCTGTGCAAAACTCATTGGCCAATGCATAAGACACAGATCCAGGTACGGGGTATTGAGTTTCTTCAATATACGTTTGATGCACACCTGTACTCTGTCTCGTTTGAAAAATGTTAGCCACAATTTCGACACAACATACAGGTCCTCACGTTTAACCTAGGTAAAATAAATTAAAGTAATAAAAATAAATTAAATTAAATATTTTTGAATTTAATAAACTGTATTAAAATTTATATATATGTTTTTTAGACATAATTTTTACCTAAATTAATAATAGATAGATTAAGGTATGACTTTTACTAATAATTTTTCAGTTAAAATAATGTTTAAAAAAAAAATTAAATTAATAAACTGTAATAAAATCTACTTTTTTTTAACTAAAATAATTATCATTAAAAATATTATTTTTAACAATAGATTTGAAACGAAAATATTTTTATTATTAACTATAATATTTATTTATTTATTTTAAAAAATACTAATAATCTATTAAAATAATTATTTCTATAATAGAGAACAAATAATTAATTAAAGTATTTAAAATCAATTAATTGATTATAAATAAAAAGTTTTAGAGCTTATTAAAAAAAATAAACAAATTAAAAAAAATTAACTATTTATTTCTATAATATTTTAATTAATTATAAATTATTTTTATTTATTTTTATTTATTTTTTGTTAATTAATTAATTAATTAATAAGACATACCTCTCCCTCTTTGATGGCATCGTTGATAGCATTGCCCACTTCCTCCTCATTCAGATAGGCATACGCGCAGTCAATGTGTCGATAGCCGGCTTTGATAGCCTCCCGAACGGCCTTATATAGTGAACCGTCAGGTGGGGACTGCCAGGTGCCCAAACCGACCACTGGAATGGACAGACCGTTGTTCAACAATATGTTTGGTACTTGTTTTGGGTCAACCATTTTTTATTTAGTTTTTTTTTTGTGAATATTTAGTCTATATTTTAAATTAGAAAAAATAAATAAGTGTTTTATTAAATTTAATTTTTTTGTAAAAAAAATAATTTAATAAAAATTAACTAAATAAAAAGTGTAAAATTATTTTTAATATATATATATATTTTTAAAAATATTTTATTTCACTGTGAATCTAAATTATTGATTTTAACTTAAATTATTAGTTATAAAATTATAAACTATAATTAAGTTATAAAAAATAAATTATAATTATTACTCTAAATTATAAATAAAATTATTTATCTGTAATTACAGTTTAATTATTTTTCAAATAATTATAGATATTATTATTATTATTACATTTTCAAAAATTATTGCACCTTTATCAGTTTTTTCATACAGTATTATACTAATAGTAATAAAAATATTATATTATTTATCTATAAATATTATATAATATTATAGTAATGCTATTTTGATAATATATTGTTGAATAATATAAAACTATGAATTAATATATTATATATAAATTTATATATATATATATTTTGAATTTTAAAAACATTTAATCAATTTTATATATATTTTTTTTAAATTTCATAATATCATACGGTTTACTAAAAATTTAATAGTATTTTGTTATTCTACAAATATGTATGTTTTATATCACTTTTTATTTGATTAAATTTTTAAAATATATATATATATAATTACTAATTGTTCAAGGTTATTTTTGAAATAATCAACTAACAAAGAGGTACAATGATATAATAATAATAAAATGCATAACTAGTTATTAATATTATCTCTATGGCGTGATTTATATATTTTAAACTTATTTAAAAAATTAAATTTTATATCTCTAATTATAATATCAAATATCACAAAAATTTTAATTATTAATAGACTAGTAATTTTAAATTAAAATACTAGATTTTTAAAAAAATAAAACATTGAACTTAATTTTATATATTTAATATTAAAATTCATTAAAATTTTGTTTTTATAATTTTTAAGTAAATATAAACATTTAAACTATAATATATGACTTAATTGTTGCCCGCATATAATATAATATATTATTATTATTAATTTTTAATTAATTTTATATTTTTTTTGATGATGTGTACTAACTATGTAATTAAAAAAATACTATTAATTAATTAATAATAACTATTAAAACAATTTATTTTTTATATATAAAAACTAACTATATATTTAAAAAATGTCATTCACTAAACAAAAAAAATATTTAAATTAAATACAATAAAAATCATTTATAAAATGACTTATTTAATTTTTTTTAAAAATATATAAATTATAATTTTAATTACAATAAAATAAAATAACTTCTATATACAAAAAAAATTAATAATAAATTAAATATACTTACCAAACAATTAATTAAAATAAATGTTATACCGGCACACAATAATTTTTTATATACAGTAGCAATTACTCAACCAAACAAACAAAAAATATAAAAATAAATGGCGCGACTCTACTATATGGGCAGTCAATTGATTTGAGAGACAGTGCATGTGTTTGAACATTAATTTTATACCCAATTTTTTTTAAATGTTTGTTTAGCTATACATTTTCAACAGTATATACAGTATTACTATTACATGTCTACATATACACTACTATTAGGTTTATCACACACACATATATATATATATATACTGTATGTAAGTAATATTATATAATATACAGTATTAATAGTTATAAATATTTTATTTATCACAAAATTTCACATAAAATTTATTATAGAGAGTATATACTGTATATTTCAAATTTTTATTATCAATGTATATATCAATTAATAGTTTAATGTATTATCTTATAGTATTAAGAAAATTTTATTACACCTTATAGTATAAATATATATATTAAATAATAAAGCATTTTTATTTGTTGTAAATAAAACATAATATAAAACTATAAGTTACTAATAATAAACATTTTAAACAAAAAAAATGTTTGCAATGGTAATAAAATTTTAATTGTTAATTGTTTATTTATAAATTAAATTAATTATTTTTATTTAATACTTAATTATACCCGTAAATTTATGAACCTAATAATTTTGTACTTAAATATTAATCATTTTATTTAATATTATAATATTATATATACTGTATATAAAAGTAATTAATATTGAATAGCAATGTCAATTAACAAACTTATAAACACACTGTATATTATATTATATTTAAATAATTAAGTGCAATATAAGTGTAAAAAAATATATATATGCAATAATTTTTTTCAATACTATTATAATGTTATCAATTAATCATAGTTATTAAATAAATGAAAAAATGTAATTTTTTTGTAATAAATAAATTGTATATTCAATGATAAACATTATAATTATTTTTTTCCTATTTGTTTTAGATTTATGTGTGATTTATTTTTTTATTTGTTGGTTAGTTGTTATCAGTCAAGTACAGTACAATATAGTGTTACAAATTTTTATCCGAAATAACCCGTTTAGTCCCGTCCCGTCATAAATATATAAAATTTATTTAATTTTTGTTTTAATATTTCAAAAAAAATAATTATAATAAAAGTAATATATAAATAAAATTTTAATTTAAAATTAATTAATAGTTATTGTTACTAATTATTATTAATTATTATTGTTACTAATTATTATTAATTATTATATTATAATAAGTATTAACTACTGTTAACTATTATTAATTATTATTGACTAATATTTATTATATTTTAGAAAATTATTATAATTATTATTAGAAAAAATTTAATAATATTAATTCATAATTGAAATTATATTATTTTTTTTTTAAATTATATCCAAAATCTTGTTTTGCAACACTAATACATAATAGTGTACTCATAATAATAAATATATCAGAAAAAAATTTATACTATTATTATTAGATATGATATTGTATTGAGAAAAAAAATTTAAAACATTTAGTTGTACTAAAATTTTTTAAATATTATATATTTGATAAGATTATGGTTTTTAATATTATTAATAATAATTTTTTTTTTTAATAAAATGTAGTTTTGATAGAAAAATATTTTATTTTAATTAATTAAGTTAGTTTCAATATTAATATAGTTCAAAATAGTCATATAATAAAATTTTTTTTTATGTATTTTTAAGTTTAATATTTATTTAATTTAAAAAATAATAAATACATTAATAATTTATATATTAATATTACATTATATTAAAAATTATTTAACTAAAATCAATGATTATTATAACTAATTTAAACATTTTTTAAAAAAAACTGTACACTAAAATAGCGTAGTTTATGTTTAGTCTATAGTATTTAGATATTTTTAGGTTTCCATAGCAATTAGTGTGGACAGCAACTACATTTTGTAATATGTTAAAGTATTACAGTAAAACCTAGTTAATAAAAACTAATTTAATATTTATTTTTATATTATATAAATTAGAAATTAATCAAATAAACAGAAAAATTAATTAAAATTTAAATAAAACAATAATAAAATATTTTTGATAATATTTACACATTTAATCAGATATTCATATTATTAAAAATAAAGTTTTTTTTATGAAAAATAATATTTTTAACTAAACTACTGTACAATAATAATAATAATAATAATAATAATACATTACAATATAAACTGTATTATTATTTTTGATAGGCGTTTATTTATTATACACATATTAATACAATTTTTTTTTTAGATAACATTTACAGTTTATGTGTCCATATTTTTTTTTAGATAAAAAAAATTAATTAATTAATTAATACTATAATAATAAATTGATTGACCGTTTGACCCAAACATTATTAAATCATACAATTATTGATAAGCATTATATCAATTAATTAATTAATTAATAATAATAATGCGTTCAATACTACTACTACTACTAGTACTAGTAGTACCGTATTTGGCCAACTGTTCGGAAATTGGTGTACCCGTACTGTTATGGCGGCACCGGGACAGCAGCGGCGGCGGCTTAGATACCTTACCTCCTACTCATCATCGGTCGACTGTCCAACAAATTGATGGCTCAATACTGGGTGAAGACTATCTACGGGGTGCCGAAACTGTTGTTGCGTTTGTCCAAAATCGTATAAATCTGGAACAGTTTACCACTGAGGAAGACCCGGAGCATCGGATGCCGACCGTGAGATCGCTGTTTACCGATTCATCTATAGAGCCGGTATGTAATACTAACCCTTTCCCTCCCTCCATCCTCCTCCTCCCCCCCACACTTTTCTCCCCGCTATAATAGATTTTAAACAATTAGCTAGCTAATTTTTTTAAAAAAAATTATTGTTAGATGTGTGATACTTTATTATGTGATTAACATACGGTAATTAAATCGGTTATTAAATCTGTTAATATATTATATTAGTTAGTTAGTTGTAAGACTAACCTCACACACCCCCTCCCTTTCCCACACTTCCCCCCCCCATCTATAATAGATTTTAAACTATTAGCTAGCTAAATGTTTTATTATTATTATTATTAAATATGATACATTATATGATAACATACGGTAATTAAATCGGTTAATAATCTATTAATTAATTTATACAGACATTACTCGTGGATGTCATCAAACCTACCGATGCCCTAAAACGCCGTAACTTTCGCTACATTGAAGACCCAATCGACACCCAGATTAACGACGAACCGCTTACCGTCCGTACGGGCGATAAAGTATGGATCGATTTACCCGACGATCATCTGGTAAACAATGACCAACTAATCGGTGAACTAGTGGCCCGAATCCAGGCTAATGTATCGGCAAAAAATACTGTCTATTTGATTACTGGCCGTACAAATCAGTTTCGTTCAATCGATTTGGAGGACAGGGATATGGATATCGAGACCAATGAAGTGGTGGACGACAGTAAGTCCCGTCGTATACGACGCGATACTATCGGCGCCGCCGGCGATGATAAACAACGCAAATATTTGCTGACCGTTGTCGACGATAAAGATCCGAAAAAAGAGTGTCTATACTTCTATTCAAATAATCTTGAAGTAATTATTGGCCAATTTTCATCCGCGAAAGCTGACCAAGAGTTTAGCGAACCGGCCAAATTGGATACCGAAGCGAAACCCGGGTCCCAGTGTTGGCTAATCGACCCGAAAGCCCGCAAACAGGAACGATCCGGACTGTTGGCATTGAAATATGAGGACCCGAAACAACCCGATAAATCGGTATCATTGCGGCTGCAGATTGAGTCACCGCATTTGCATCCGGGTCGGTCGTAAGTATTATTGGACATTAGGTTAAAAGCTACCGGTGCTTAACATTAACTACCAATTTGTTTGTTTAGTGACTACTGGTTTGTCAGCAGCGGTAACCTAACCTATAAAAACATTGTCTACACAATGGACTTTCGGTCGGTAGCCGCCGAAACCATATTCAGCTACAGTTGCGGCCAATTGGTTGTCTGGGGTAGGACTGGACCGACAGGTTGGTTACGATAATGACTACTACTACCATCACCACTACATAGTCATACCTAATATCTATTGTTTTTTTTTATTAATTAATTACCGATAATTTATTATTTAGATAAAACCGGACTGATTCTCAAGTTTAGCCGATTTCAATTGCAACCGTTTACGGGACCGGAAACGGTTGGTCCCCGAAAGGGATATATATTTACCGACGGTTACCATTGTGAAACCTGGATGACACTACCCCTGTGGATGGGACTGTTAACCCTGATCCTATTGTTTGCCATTTTGTTTTTCGGCATATATTTCATATCGATTGTCAATACACCCGATCGGTTTGAGAACCCGAAAGGCAAACCGCTTATCATATCTAATTTGGACGAATAGTATGCACACACAATACAACTCTCCCCCCCCCGCAAACCCCCCCCGGCAGGGGAACGATAGTCAAGATATTGATATTAAAAATAATAATAATTTATTAATTAAATAAAAAGTTAATTTTTGTTTTGTTTTTATTAATTAATATTTTGTGTTTTATAATACTAATTATTATTGTTTATTAAACGGAAAAATATTTAATAAAAAAAAATTATTACCAAATTTTATTATTTATAATATATCTAAATAAATAATTATCAGTTTTTTTTTTAAAAATAAATTTTAATTATATATGATTTATATAAAATATATTTGTTGATTACACAAAATTATAAACAATTGGTTATTTGAAAAAAATATATAAATTATTTAATTAAATCAAAATAAAATAAACTATTATATTTATTTAGTGTTATTAATTAATTAATTTAAAAATCATCAATAGATAGCACTTAAGAAGACTATCCTAGATTAAAATTTAATCAAATTATCAACATTATTTTATTTAATTAAAAATTTACAGTCCAACCTCTATAAATATGTAAAAAAAAATTAAATAATATTGAATTAAAATTTTTTAATATTAATTAGTTATAAATATTATAATTAGTTTTCTCAACTATGTTTTTAATGCCAATGATAGTTATAATTATATATATATATATATTGTATATAAAAATTAATTTATTATTTAGTATATATATATATAAATATACATCTGATTTATTATTTTTTTGCTTAATTTGCTTACTAAACAAAATTTTGTTTAAAAAAAAATTGAAATATAAAAAAATAATAATAACATAATCTTTTTTTCTAAAAAAAAAATGTATATTAAATTACATTTTCTGTTTTTTTCTCTCTCTCTCTCAATCTAATAAAATATGATAATAATTATTACTATAATTAGTGATGATATACAAAAACCAAACATTAAACGCAAATTACATGTAATTTTTCTTTTTTTTACAAATGTTTTTAATGGGGTTTTCAGAAATTATAACCAACAAAAAAATATATTTATAATAATTACTAATAATAATACTATTAAAAAAATACTACATAATAGTTAGGGTGTTCCTCAACATCCAACAACAATGATAACATCAAAAAGTCTATTATATAACTACTGTGTGTATACTATGAGGCCAGTGATGCCGGGAAACGGGTCAACACATTAACTATACATGTTTTGTGTGTATATATACCTGTATATGTGTTGCATCTCCTATAATCACAATTACAATAGTCATAATAATATTAGTATTGTTTGCATGTTAATAATACTCCATCATTATTATTATTATTATTAATATTATCATTATTATGATTAAACTACTGGTCCTCTCACTCACTCACTCAGTCAGTCAGTCAAACACATACACACACACACCTGTGCTTATTATATACTGTATTTAAATATATATTTATATAAAATATGATACAACCAACAAACAAAAAAAAATAATAGTGTGTTTTTAATATTTAGAGGACAGTTAGATAATAATAATAACTATACTATAAGTTTAGTTTATATAGTTTTTATAAGAGATTATACACTGTTGTGTGTGTGTGTGTGTGTGTGTATGAGACAACATATAATTGTTAGCACAGTTAGCTGTATTAGCTAACAGTGTGTATTCATTTCACATATTTAGTTATAATCTCTCTCTCTCTCTCTCTCTCTCTCTCTCTCTCTCTCTCTTTCTCTCTCTCTTTCTCTCTCTTTCTCTCTCTCTCTCTCTCTCTCTTGAAATTCAAGTTTATTTAAAGTATTTAAATTGATTTATTAAAAGGAAAGGTATTTAAATTTTTAAATAACTGTGCATTAATTATATCAATGTCTATGCGTGTTTGTGTGTGTGAGTGAGTGTACTGTATTTTTTTAGGTAAGGGCGCAGCACAGGTATGTGTCAGCAACAACAACAACAACAGTGGGATAAAAACATATATACAGTACTATATATTTTCACACAATCAAACCCTTTAATTATTATACTGTATATTAGATTTTATTTTTATTTAATATTAAATGAAAATAAAATAAATTTCCAAATAAAGATGTCATTAAATTTCAATTTTTATATGTAATACTTTTTTTTAAAAAATAATAATTATTATATAATATATATTTATATTAACAATACTAATACTGTAATAATAATAATTATAGTATTATATAATTAACATAAAGTTTTCTATGTTAAATATAACTTATTTTTTAAAAATTATTAAAAAGTTTTATTAAAAATCTAAGTTTCAAATAAAAGTTTATTATTATTATTAAAAATAAATATTAAATATTCATTTTGTTGAAAAATAATTTTTGTTTTTAGTTAATTTAAATTTATTAATCATATATATATGAAACTTAATATTATTATTATTTTTTTGTAAAATATTAATTTTAAAAATTTTAAGTATTATTTTTTTATTTAAATTATATTCAAAATAATAAACTCAACTTGATTAATAAACTTTTTTGTTTAAAACATTTTTGTTGTTGTTGCCTTTAAATTATATCAAAATATAAATATAAATATATATAATTAAATACTTATAGTTCATATATTAATATTATTATACTTTATATAAATAAACTATAATAATAATAGTCTACTATTTACAGTTTATATATTTAAGTCAAATATAAAAAAATGTAGTATATATTATATATAAATAAATATATTTTTTTAACAATTTTAACTAAAATTATTTATAGTAAGGTAAATAAACTATAATACAGTATAATGTTTTCATTATATTGCATAAAAATATTAAGGTAAATGACAAACAAAATTTTAATAAAAAAAATTACAATATTTTATAAAAAATATATATAAATACATTCATTAATATTATACATGTAATCTATTTTTTGACTATAAAATTATTAGTATTACTATTATTGATATTAATTTAATTTTTGTAATATTTAATAAAATACACACAAAAATATTTATTTTATAAAAAACAAATTTATTTAATGTGTAAATATCTATTTTAAATTTTTTTTTCTTTTAAAAATTGTCTTATTTAGATAAATACATAGTTCAAGTGTTTTTTTAAAAAGTTTAAACTAAACACACACTAAAAAAATATTAGATAAATAAATAAAAAAAATAAATAAATAATTTTCTCAATAAACTTGAACTTCCTTTTCACCCAAAATTTATTTTAAAAAAAACATTTTAATATTCAGTACATAATATCTATATGTATACAGTATTTATCATATTATATATATAAACTTTACATGAATTATATATATATATATATAGACTCTATTATATACATGTAATATATGTATAATGTATGTTACATCCCATCATCAAGTTTTTCAACAAAAAAAAACATAACAACAACATTACAAACTTGTTGTTGACGTTATTGTCTCTCTCTCTCTCTCTCTCTCTCTCTCTCTCTCTCTCTCTCTATGTATGTATGTATGCTCTCTCTCTCTCTCTCTCTATGTATGTATATATGCTCTCTCTCTCTCTCTCTCTCTCTCTCTCTATGTATGTATATATGCTCTCTCTCTCTCTCTCTCTATGTATGTATGTATATATGAATATCTAGTTTTTTTTCTATATGTACAGTAAAAACTACCAAAAAAAATACTATATTACCCAACAATACGACGACTACTACTACTACCCAAACAGCACAGACAGACACAACCAGTACTAGTAGTAGTAGTAGTGTTGTTGTTGTGTGTTATATGTTATATAAAATTTATATTTTTTTAGTTGCAATGATAAAGTAGAAGTAAAGGGAGGAAAAGGAGAAAATACTAACTGTGCTCTCTATCTATATATACTGTATATATATATATTGATATATCACTCACTCTTTCCCAGTCGTTAATCCAGTCCTATCATCCGTTTACTCAAAAAAAACTAATATATAATAAAATAAATTATATTAAAGTTATTTTACAACAACAAAACTTTCAGGAACTTCAACATTGATATTATTAACGAAATTTTTATTTTAATATAAAAAAAGTAAAAAAAAAACTTGTCGTTAATATCAATGATATCCACATATTTACTGTATTACTAAAAATATATTAATATATATATATAAAGTGAAAAAACAAGTGAAATAATTTTGTGATTTTATTTTTTTTATATTTTAGTTGAATATATTATTAATAATAATTTTAATTCTCAGAAAATCACTAATAATAATAATAATAATATTAATCATAAAATATTTATTTTTTGGCTATTTGTGTGCATTTTTTTCAATATATATATATTAAAAAATAGTTTGTTTTTAACGATGAATCTATAATTGCAATGATATTTGTCTACAAAAAAAAAATAAAACCAGATATTCAACACAAGTTTATATATTTTATCGTCAATAATATTATTTTCTTTATATATATATATATTAATGTAACTACAAATATATATGTATTAAAATAGTTTTCCTGAAATTTATTTTGTTGTTTTTGACTTTTTATTGTTTTACAGGAAATTCACTATACTTACAAAAATTAATACATATTATAAAATATATATATATATATATAAATGATTTTACTTAATATAAATAGTTTAATTAATAATTAGTATTTTTATTAATCATCTCTAATAATAATAATAATACTAATAATATTTGTGACTATTATTTAATAATAAGTTGAAATATTTTTATTTTATTAATTTATTTTCTATAGTTTTAATCAATAAGTTTTTTTTATATAAATAATAATAAAAAACATTTTTTTACATAATAAGGTGTCAATTGATTGATTCAACATTTAATTCACACACATGTATACTCTCAATCTCTACTAATAAAGTCAATCACTTTTATTGATTGTATATTTAAAAAAATAACAATAAAATCAAATCAATTGAAACACTAGTGAACCTGAAATTTGTGACTGAATTTAATTATATACAGTATTACCACTAAAAATAAAGTTTTTTTATTATTAAGTAATTGATTGATAGGTGCCTACTATTGCCAATACAGTCAACAATAATAAATTAAAGTCAATTATCAGTGAATAATAATAATAATGAAATTTTGTTTATTTTAATTTTGTTTATTTATTTTTTTTTTTGGGGTACATGTTATCAATTTATGTTAATGAAATATCCTAATTTTAGCAACAAATATATATATTGATAATATTTTTTTTAAAAAACTACTATTTATTGATATATTTTTCAATTAGTTTGACCTAAAACAACAAAATAATTAAAAAATTGATAATGATATCAATTACTAATAAATGTGTACTGCTTATTTTGGTGGTCTACCTAATTAAAGGTAATATAATATTAATTATATAGATATTAATTATTTTATTTTTTAAAAATATACATAAATATAAGCTTAATTGATAACAATCTAACTAAATATATAATAAATTTTGTAACTTTTAATAATTTTAATATAATAATAAAAGTAATATAATAATAATATAGATATTTATTAATTTTAATATATATAAATATATATATATAAACTTAATTGATAACAATCATATTAAATATAAATAAATTGTAACTTTTAATAATTTTAATATAATAATAATAATATAGATATTTAATATTTTTAATATAATAATAATAATAAAATAGATATTTATTATTTTTAATATAATAATAATAATAATAATAATATAGATATTTATTATTTTTAATATAAATATAAACTTAATTGATATCAAACATTTTAAATATATAAATTTTTGTAAATTTTAAAAATTTTTAATAGTATTTTATATTTCTAGCATAAAGTTATACATGTATTACACATTATATTAAACTAATTTTTTAGTGCTATATTGTATAATTGTAATTAACAATAAAATTATTGTTACAAATTTTGTTGTTGTTGTGATAAACATTATATTTAAAACTCAATTAACAATAACAAAACACTAACAAATAAGCAGGAAATAAAAATTTAATTTTTTTTATTTATCTAGATTTTTAATATTATTATTGCATAAAAAATGGAAATCTTTTAAACACAATTATAATTGTCTTCAAAAAAAAATTTTATTTGTTAAATTTAAAATTTGTTATCATTTAAAAAAATCTAACACTTTATTTCAAAATTATTTTGAATTTAGTTTATTTTATTTTTTTGTTGTTGTTGAATGAATAATTAGATTTTAAATATTATTATTATTATTATTATTATCACTTTATTTAATATATAATAATAATAATTACTATTATATTTTCGGGATGTTATCCGTGTTATAATCTTTGACAAAATTTTTTATATCAAAAAAAATATTATTTTAGTGTAATTAAGACTCATAAACACAAAATCATATAAAAAAATTATATATAATTTAGTTTAAATAATAATTATTATTTTTATCCAAAAAAAATCTAGATTTTTATATTATAATATATAATATAAATATATTATTATTATATGAATAGAAGTTCTCATTTAGTTTATATGCAATTTTGATCTAAATATTCAAACAAACAAAAAATAATATATATATATATATATATATATATATATGTATTATTGACTAACAAATAGGATATATAATTGAGTGAATCCAATATAATATTACAAAACGCTTGAAAGTATTGTAATATTAAATAATAATAATAATAATTAAATAGATTTTTATTTAAAAAAATTGGTCAATAATTTAAAATTATGTGTTAAATATTTGACCAAAATTTTTTTATTCAGCTTTTATTTTTTAAAGTTTTTTTTAAGATCTTTAAACTAATAGTAATAATTTATTATATAATTATAATTTATCTAATATTAATTGTTAGACTGTAATAAAAATTATAAATAATTTTTTAAAATAATTTTATTTTGTTTTTTACATTTAATTAGTGTACATGATAATGTAGCATAAATTTATGTTTTTTTTTATTTATAATATATGAAATTATAATTAATATTTGCAAATAAAATTAAACTAAACAATAATATTAAGAAATTTTTTTAAAATTGTTATTTAATAATAAAATAAAATAAACAAAATTACAATTATATATATTAACATTGACCAATTTATATAAAAATAAATAACAGTATATATTTCTTTATTATTTTACAAAAGTCAATATTAATTACATAATAATAATTTACACACACATACAATGTTAATGATAGCGTGTAATAATAATAATAATAATATTAAAAAACAAGTTTAATGTTATTATCAATTGCACGAAACTAAACACATCCTATTCATACAATTTTTTCAAATATATATTTATAAAAAAAAATTGTAATGAAAATTACTAATTGTTTTTAATTAATTGAAAATAAATAGTTAACATCTTTTTTGTTTGTTTGATGTTATTGTTGTTAATTTAAACAATAATATAATTATTATATAGATTATAATTACTATTAATTAAAAATTTTTGAAAAAAATATACTAGACAAAATCATTTGAATTTAAACAATTAATAATTTTAGGATAATTTATAATTATAAATAAAAAATTTATAATATTATTGTGAATAATATTTTTAATTTTATTGTTAATTTTCAAATTTACATACATTTTTATTCTGTTATTAAATACAAAACATATATTAAAAATAAATTATCAAAAAATTGAAATAATTATTTACAGTTAGAAAAATATACAAATTTTTTAAAACAAAAAAAAACTAATCTAATATAATATACACTAATTTGTTATTTTTTAAAAACATTATCTATTTTTTTAAATTAAAAAAATACTACAAAATTAATTTACAGATGAGAGTCAACACCTAAATTATTATATAACAATAATAAAACAAAAAACATTTTTAAAAAATTAAGTTTAAAATACAATATACTTATATAATATGATTACTGATTAAATGAGTTGTTAGTTAAATAAGATACAGTTGAATAGTTTAATAAAATAATATAGAGTTTATGATAAAAACAACAACAAAAATAATTATAATAATAATAATATGTTTGATAATTTTGATGTTATACTATATATATATATATTAATATACATTATATATGTAATAACTACGGTAGATATCTTATAATAATAATAATAATAATAACTGTAATAATGATAATGATGATGATAGAGCACCTGTATATATATATATATATGTACATTGAAATCTCCCCTATACTATGATATCCTATCCTATCAACTAAATGGTAATATATATTGTAAATCGTGATAATTGTAATCACAGTTTAACTTGTATAATCAACAACAACAACAAAAAATAAAACTAAAAATAATATAAATTATTTAAAAAATTAATATCTTATACATATTAATATATTATAATATAATATTTATAAGATTATCTTGAATTTTGCGGAAGTTAAATTTCTATTATAGTAAATATTTAGTATTATTATTATTATCATTTAATTGACAAATTAAAATTTTTAACATTTATTGTTATTATTTTTTTTATATTGAAAATCACGTTTTAGTTTAATTATAATAGCAATAGATTAATTTTCTAAAATATTTTATTTATTTATACTTTAAAATATAGATATTTATCATTAAATATATATATATTTAAAAGTTGTGGCTATATTAATCTTATTTGTTAAAATAAAATTAGTTAAATAAAAAAAATAATTTATTTATAATATAAAATATATTATGTATTTAGAAAAAACAAAATTTATATTTTAGTATAGTTTGTTATTATCATATATATATTAATTAGTACTTAAAAAAATTAATTAGTTGACTAAATAAATATATATATATATATTATTTAATATTTATATATTAATATGTTATAAATGTCATTATTATTAATAATATTTAATTTAATATATTTTTATGTATAGGATAACTATTATATAGGATTTTAACATTAGATAGCATACAAACCTTAACATTGATATAACTAGAGAAAAATAACTAAATAAATAAATAAACAAAAAGTCCAACAATGAGATACCAATTAAAAAATTTTATTTTTTGAAAAAACACACAATAATTATATATAATTAGTGGGAATATACTGTATATCACTCCTTAATATATTTGTTTGTTTTTTGTTTGTTTTGAAAAAATTATTTTTAAATTACTTTTCTTATCAAATAATAATTTTTGTTTAGTATACACAAAAAATATGTGATCTTTATGTTTGTGTCTTAAAGAGAGAGAGAGAGAGAGAGAGAGAGAGAGAGAGAGAGAGAGAGAGAGAGAGAGAGAGAGATAGTCATTGTTTTATAAAAATTTTAATAATAAATAAAGATTTTTCTGCTCTGTTTTGTTTTGACATTCAATTGTTTTGACTATTTGTTTGTTTGTTTTATTTACAATATAAATAATTTTTTTAAAAACTACACACAAATGTTATGTAATATAAGTTATATAAAAGTTATAAGTTATTATATATAACTATATAAAGTTTTTATAATATAATACAGTATTATATACAGTATCCTAAAATTGATATAACAGTATATATTATCAAATATTATTATTATCTAAAATACAATAATAATAATAATAATTAAAATATTGAAATCATAATAAATATATTAAAAATTAGTTGTTATTATAGATAGTATTATTATTATTATTTAATTGTAATTTGACATTTAAAACATTTTTTTCTATACAATAATAATAATAATAATAAATTAGGTGAATGTCATATATTTATGATAACAAATTATTTTTATTGTTTTTAATGTCAATATAAAAATAGAAAAAATTGATTGTTTATTAAACAAAACATTATTTATAATTACAACAACAAAAATGCTAATTTAGATTTTTTTTAAATAAAAATATTTCCAATTTTACATTTTGTTTTGATTTAAATGTTGTAATATATTATTATAATATATTAAGTTAACATTGAATTAAATTTTTTATACAAAAAATAACAAAATTTGTTATCAAAAATTGCATAAATATTCAAATATTTAAATGTAATTTTAAATATTATAAATACAGTATAAGTATCCACTAAATAAATAAATATTAAAAATAATTAATTGTTAATATTTAATCAAAATAGCTGTAAACATATAAAAACTGATTATTATTCCTATTATTGATAATATTATAGTTATTAATATTATTTAGACCTAATTAGAAATATAAAATCAATTATATAAAAAAAATTTTAAAACTTATTTATAAAAATTATTTTTATTAAATATTTGAAAACAATAAAAAAATCATTCAAATAACAAATAAGTAGAATAACTAAATTAAAATTAAATTAAATAAAATAACTAAATTAAAATTAAATAAAATAATTAAATAAAAATTAAATTAAATAACTAAATTAAAATAAAATAACTAAATTAAAATTAAATATATTTAATAATTTAATTAGATCACCAGTGTCAATTACCTGGTGTAGCCAGGGTCAAGGATGTCTATTTTGGTACATTGATTGGCAAACTGACTACCTATTCCCATGGGGTTAGCGGTGAAGTCTATGCCGTCGACGATAGTACAGTGTTTGTGAAAAATTTCAATTACGATGGCCAGGGACCCCAGGCCTACTTTTGGGCCGGTACTACACCAGCACCCGATGATTCGGGTTTTATAATACCCGATGAAAAAGGATCGTAAGTTTATTTTTATTTATTAATATTTTTTTAGTAGTAATCTATTTATGTATTTAATTAAAACAAAATAAAATATTTATTTTAATTAATATTTTCAGAAAATTATTTTAAATAATCAAATAAAAGGGGGGGCTTTTAATGCTATTTGATAATTATATTTAAAAAATAACTAATAAAATAAAAATATTTAAATAAATTTTACAGTTATTTAATAGTTTAAAAAATAATTTATATATATATATATTAGTAATAATTTATGTATTGTTTTTTTAATTAAAACAAAAAAATATTTATTTTATTTAATATTTTTGAAAAATTATTTTAAATAACCAAAAATAATAGGTCAGTATTTTTCCGCTATTTGATAATAATGTTTAAAAAATAACTAATTAAATTAAAAATATTATAATAAATTTTACAGTTACTTAATAGTTATTTAAAAAAAAATTATTTAATTAAATATTTTCGATAAATTATTTTAAATAACTACAAAAATTATGTGGGCTTTGGATTACTATTTTATAGTAATGTTTAATAAATAACTAATAAAATATAAATATTATTATAAATTTTACAGTTATTTCTAAAAACTCTTTAAAAAAATATTAAATTGCAATTAATTCTAAGACAGACAATAAATACAATAATATTATTATTATAAAATAGATTAGTAAAACTTGTAGATTATATTGTTTATAAAAGTATAAAATTTTATTTAATTTTAAATATAAATGCATACATTTCATAATTTCTATTAATTTATAATGAAAATAATAATTAAGCTAATTTATTAATACAAAAAAAAATATTATTATTATTATAATTATTAAATTAAAAATAATTAAATAAATAATTTTTTTTTTAAAAATACATTTTTCTTAATTATTATTATATTAATTATTATAATTATTAATTTTTTTCAGTACCAAACCGTTGAGCTCCTATACCAACCAAAACATTGTCCTACGACTACCTGAAGGCAAAACATTGCGTGACATTAATTGGCTGTCCGTATGGTGTCGTGAATTTAAGGTCAATTTTGGCGACATATCTGTTAGTAGCCATAAAAACCTGGAGATACCGTCACCGGTTGAGATACCGGCCCTATCCCGGTTGGCTCATGGCCTACAATCGGGACCCATAACCATAGTTGATGCCCAAACATTTCTGATACCTAACTTTCACTATGACGGCCTGGGGCCGGCCGGCTATTGGTGGGTCACCCGCGGACAACGTCAGGGACCGACAGGTTTTATTTTTTTCTCACTAACTAACTACTGGTGTTTTAATCAGTGTTAAAAAAAGTATGGGTAGATATGGTGGGACAGGTATTCCACTCAATCAATTAGTTTATATATTAATAAATATCAAGATAAAACTATAAATTCAATTAATCAAAAAAAATGACCAAGAACATAATTAAGTATATAATTTTATAATTAAATATTATTGTAATTGGTTATTTTTTTATTAATTGTAAAATTACCTAGATAATAGTCAACTATTTTATGTTGACGCTATTATCTAGGTAAATTTTTCAATTAATAAAAAAAAGATTAATTACAATAATGTAGTTGAGCATAATATTATCTACAATTATGTTCTTGATCATTTTATTAAATTGAATGTATAGTTTATCATATATTTATTAATATAAACTAATGCATACACACCATATCTATACTCATAATTGCAATACTGGTTTTTAATTGTAATAATAATAATAATAATATTAATAACTACTACTATTACTATTTTAACTACATATAAGGTTTGCGTTTGAAAGATGAAAACGGAAGTCCGGCGCCATTACGTCGATATACTGGGGAAACGGTAGTCATATCCTTACCGGACGACAAAACTATCTACGATTTTGATTGGCTGGGCGTCTGGTGCGAGGAATTTCAAGCCGATTTCGGTCACATCCGTATACCGCAACACATACGGGTGCCGCCATCGCCCAAAATGTTGGGCATTAAACCAGAGGTTAGTAGCGGTAGCGGTAGTGGTGGTGGTGGTGGTGGCGGCGGGGGTGCGGGTAGTATACGTGCGGTGGAGGAGGGGTTGCGCGGAAAGCATGTCCGCAAACTGACTGCCGATGAACTGAGCGCCGGTAGTAGTAGTGGTGGTGGTGGTGACGGTATTATTATTATAAGTGGCAGTCAATTGATTATAAAATTAATTATTATAAGCGGATGGCTGATGATAATAAAACAATTAATTATTTAATAATTTAATTAATTAAAAATTATTGATAATTTTATTTTTATTTTATTTTTTAAAAATAATTAATTAATCAGTTTTTTATAATTATAAAATGCTTGTTGACATGTATTATTATTTTTTGTTGTTTGTTTGTTAATATTATATGATTGATATAAATATATCTAAACTATTGATAAATAAAATAAATAATTTAATTATTTTTTTCTGCATGCATTAATTAATAAAGTTTTTTTGTTTTGTTTTTTTTAATTATTATCTAAAAATACTAAAAAAATATATATTTAGTGGATTGCATGGTAAATTATATTATGAATTAATTAGTTAAAAAAATAATATTTAAATCTTTATTTTTTTATTTTTAAAAAATCTTTGTTTGAAAATATTTTAATATTTTAAAATATTAGACTAAACTTAACTGTGAAGTACTATACGATGAATTGGGTTATGAGTTACGTTGGGTTATGGATGGCGACGACATAGTCATGCAATTGGTCGGCAAAGTTGGTCAGTGTTTTTAAAACTAAAAAATTATTTTTAATTAATTAATTAATTAATTTTATATATAAAAAATGGATATTTTATTTTTAAATAAAAATTAATTTTTCTCTTTGCTTTTCTTACTAATTAAATAGTATTTATATATTATAGATCTAAATATAATTATAGAGTATTTGAATAAAATTACTGTTTTTTATTGCTATTAAAAAATTATAAAATAATTATTTTTTTAATAATAATATTTTGATATTTAAAAGATCCCAACGATTATATGGCATTTGGTTTAAGTAAAGACGACTCCAAGTCGGAAATGGTTGGCGCAGATGCTGTAGTCACTTGGGTAGCACCGGGAGGTAATGGACGGGCAGTCGACTATTTTCTCGGCAGTAAAGAACAGGTAATACTGTATAGATATATATAGATATATATAATTGATAAATAAATTAATGCCAACATTTAAAATTAATAATAATTAATTATTTTTTTACTATCTATATATACCAGTGCGTCGGCAATAGAGGCAGTTGTCCTGATATCAAACATACCGGTGCCAGCGATAGTGTAACACTATTACATGCTGCTATTGTCAATGGTTTTAGCATGGTCACATTTAAACGGCCACAATTGGGACGTTAGTATTTATTTATATATAAAAAAATTAATTTTAATTATTATTAATTATTGCTATTATTATTAATTATTATTACTATTATTATTACTATTATTATTACTACTATTATTATCACTAGTATTATTATTACTATTATTATTACTATTATTATTACTATTATTATTACTATTATTATTACTACTATTATTATCAGTACTATTATTATTACTATTATTATTACTATTATTATTACTATTATTATTACTATTATTATTACTATTATTATTACTACTATTATTATCACTACTATTATTATTAATTATTAACTACACTATATATATACAGTCGATGAACAGTACGATCAACATGTATACAGTGACGGACCCCAAGCAGTCATGTGGGCTATCGGTCCCCTAAATGAGCGCCAGGAGACCAGTTATCATCGATTGCATAATCAGGGTAATATTTTTGTGGACTTTTCGCGTACACCCAAATGGAACTGTCCCCTACCGGATGAAACAATAAAACCGTCACTACGTCCACCCCATACCCATACCCATACCCAGTCCCAGTCCCAGTCCCAGTCCCAGTCCCAGTCCCAGCCCATACCCGATCTGAGTGGCAGTACTGGTCGGCCAACTGCCCGGCCACAGGTTAGGCCAACCTCACAGCAATTGCAACCTCAGCCACAACAAGTGCAACCACAGGCCAGACCAGTACAACCATCACAACAACAACAACATCAGCCAACTGTCCCTAAACCGCAGTCATCGCCGGCCAACCCTAACCCGAACGCCTGGAAAGTACCGCCAATTGTCTGTCCATTGGATACAACACTACGGGCACAGATCGGATCAACCGGTGGTACTAAAGGCTATCAGGCTATCACTGGGAAAGTCGGTTGGGGTATTGCCTGGTATATCAATGGCCTATTGATACCGGAGCTGACATTGCAACGAGGTATTTGAATGTGATTTTTTTAAAATTATTTATTGAGATAATAATTATTGAAATATAATATTTTAATAATTTTTTTTTAAAAATTTATACTATGATAATAATAAATACAAATTTTTTTTATTTATTTATTTATAAAAAATAATTACTTAATATTAGGTTTTCTTTGGATTTTATCTAAAATTAAAATTAAAAAAAACATAATTTACATATTTTTTTAATAATTAGAATAATATTACAGTTATATAAAAAATTTAAAAAAACTTAATTTTCAAAAACAAAACAAAACAAAAAAGTTTTTATAAATTATTTATTGAGATAATAATTATTGAAATTTAATAATTTAAATATTTATATAAAAATAAATATTTTTTACTATACTATGATAAAAATAAATACAAAATGTTTTTATTTATTTTTTAAAAAAAATTACTTAAAATTAAATAGATACCCTCCCTCAACCTAAAATTAAAGTAAAAAAACATTATTTACATTTTTTTAATATTTATAATTAAAAAATATTACAGTTATATAAAAAAATTTTTTTTAAAAAAACTTAAATTTCAAATAGATCAAAACAAAAATGTTTTTATAAATTATTTATTGAGATAATAACTATTGAAATATAATAATTTAAATATTTATATAAAAAATAAATATTTTTTCTATACTATGATAATAATAAATACATTTATTGTTTATTAATTTTTAAAAAAAATAACTAAAAATTGGTTGTCTTTTAATTTCGTCTAAAATAAAAATTAAAAAAATTATTTATATATTTTAATAAATAATTAGAAAAATATTACAGTTATATAAAAAATTAAAATTAAAAAACTTAATTTTTAACAAAAAAAAATATATTTTTTCTATACTAAGATAATAATAAATACAATATGTTTTTATTTATTTATTAAAAAAAAAATTACTTAAAATTATACAATCCTTTGCTTTTATCTAAAAATTAAAATTTAAAAAAACATTTAATTAAAACACAAATAATTTTTGAAAATATTACAGTTATATAAAAATTAAAAAAATAATTAATTAAATATTTACTAATTATTATTATTATTATTATTATTAGGCAAAACCTATACGTTTATCGTCGAGGGCGGCAATGAACGCAATAACAGCGCCCGTCGGCACCCGTTATACCTGACCGACGATCCGGACGGTGGGTTTGAATTCAAAAATGACGACCAAAGACAAAACGAACAGATTTTCGGTGGCGTCGGTATTACACCCGACGGTACTATATTGCCGACATCGGAGGGCCGGCTATGCGAATGGAAACTACCGGTCCAGACAACACCGGGTGGTAGTAGTAGACGACCCGATGATTATCGAAATTTTTTCGACTTTCAACGATCCCTGAGCCTGGAGTGTGCGGCCGGAAACTCGGGTGTCCTACGATTTACACCCGACTCCCAGACACCTGATCTCATATACTATCACTGCTATACACACCGTAATCTCGGCTGGAAAATACACGTTGTCGACAACTGTGACGGTCATCTGTCGGGCCAGTCATCCATACCGAAAGTATCGGTTGTCAAACCTGCGGATCCATTGGCCAAACATTCAGCGGCCGATGAATCTAATGGTGATAATAGACATATTGGTGTCAATAGTAATAATGTCTACTTTCCTAATAATCAAAAGCCGTTTAATAATAATATAACTGCAATACAACCGACCAGTAGTCCCAGTATTGGTAGACCAGCTCCAGGTGCTGCTGACAACAACAACAACAACAAGCATACTGTCCGACCATTGATAGCCTTACAGAGTCCTAATCTCAAACATACGCCAATCCGTGTACAACCATCTATTAGGCCACCATCGGTGCCACAGATACCGCCGCCACAGTACGTACCGCTCAGTCTACCGGCACCGGCAGCCCATTCACGACAACCATATTTAGGTGGTAGTAGTGGTTCGGCTGCACCCTATTTGTTGTCATATCCACCACACATACCGTCCCAACAATTTGGTAATATTCCCATAGGTTTGTACCAAAAAAATAAAATATTAATAAATAAATAATTAAAAAAAATAATAAATTTTTTAAAAAAAAAGTTTGTATTTATCTATGTTTTTCTCAATAGATTTAAAAGTCTAAAAATTCTAATATTGATTGAATTAGATAAAGTTAAAAAGTTTTAAACAAAAATTTTACAGTTTTTTTTAAATTGTTTTAATTTATTAATTAAAATTAATTTTTAAAAAAACATAAATAATTTTTGTTTAAAAAAAACAATACTTTAGATTTTTGTTTGTATAATTTTTTTTCTACTATTATTATACTATTAATTTGAATAATGTTTTTTTTTAAAAAAAAACATTAACTATTATTTTATTAAATTATATTATTAATAATAATAATTGTATTTTTAAAATTATGTTTTATGTTTTTTTTATTTAAATTATTTATATCCAGGTCAAATTAAACCATTTGATCAAATATTTCGACCACAACAACACCAACAACAACAACACTTTGTTAACTTACAGTCCTTATTATCGCAACAACAACAACGACCCCAACAACACCTACCTGTGCCACAACAACAACAACAGTTGCCAACCAATGAAATGATGTCGGATTCAGTCGACGACAACCTAAACGCCGGTTTCATACCTATGCTAATCAAAACAGCCAATCAATCCGTTGTCAAACAAGTTGAACAAAAACTACAGTCACAGTCAGCAGCAGCAGCAGCTGCTGGTGCTTCAAGATTACCTACCGGTGCTCAACAACAACAATCTACTAGCAGTAGTAATGGTAACCAATTTTCCAAAGACACATCCATACCGTTTGCACCTACCTTTCAGACCCCCAATCTTGACTACAGTGGTTTCAATGTATCCCGTTACGGTGAGATAGCACCGTCATCTAAACAGCTGATGAACCCGCAGCTCAAACCCGTCCAACTAACCAAACCGTTGGTTCCCTCCTTAATACCGAAACACCCGCAAAATACTGGTGTTGGTGTTCAGTACGAAAAAATCAGTCAACCCGTCATCAGGTATCGTATTAAAGGACAGGGAGGAGATCCGGATCAAGGATCGGCGGCTACTGTTATGTTGAGTCCTAATCTATCCGATGATCAACAACAACAACACCAAAGTAGTCCTAATAATAGACAGTACAGTCAATTGCTATCAAACGGTAATACAATAATAGCCGACAACAGGGGCTCACAATTGGCTGAATCTCAGACAAGTCCACAGGTTATGGATTTTATTGAACAACAATTTGCAAAATTCAATCAACGAGTAAGTGATTAGTAATAGTAATAATAATAATAATATTTTTTTAAAAATAAAGTTTTGCTAACAAATACTAAAAAAATAATTATTAATTAGAAATTAATTATATTAAAAAAAATTATGAAAATAAAAAATATATTATCTTTAACTTTAAGTAAAAAATAAATAAATCATAATTATATTTAATACTAGAAATATATAATTAATATATTAATAGATATTTTTTTAAGACAACAATTAATTCATATCTTATATTTAATTTAATTATATAAAAATTAATTTTTGTTAATTATTTTATTCTAGTTTATAAAAAATTAATTAAAAAAAATTTTATTTTCATAGACTAAACAAACAAAAAACGATACAAAAGTTTACGGCCAAAGAACCAAACCGTTGGCCACATCAACAACATTAGGCCAACAAAAACCTAAACAACCCGTAGATCAATGGATAACGACTACGACTGTCCACAACATCGATGCGGCCGTCGATGAGTCACCACTAAAATCGGAACAATCGGTTAGTCCGTCAACGACTACCGGAGCCGTTGTCTTAACTAAGGAACAGTTGAAAAATAAAACCGAAAACACTATACTAATGGACGTAATGAGACTAATACAGCAAAAAGCTCCGGCATTGGCACCGACACTACAACACAGACACCAATTGTTGGCCAAAAAACGATCGTTTGATACACATATTGTGGCCAAACGGGACATACATTATCCGACTAAAAATAATGACCGATATTATGACACTAATAGCCATCACTATAGCCATTATACCTACCGATCGGCGGCCGTCAGTGATGTCCATCACTTGAAAGTCGTCAATACATTCATTGCATCTATTTTTACAATAATTTTATTTAATTGTTTGTTTGTTTAATTTTATTATTATTATTATTATTATTAATTTTTTTTGAATATATTATTTCATAATTATTATTATCTAATATATATTAAAAATATTATTAAAAAAAACATTTTATTAAAATGATTTTAGATTTTTAAACTAATAAAAATTAATTTAATAAAATAAACAGTTATTTAAAAAACAATATATTTATATAGATATATATAATAAACTATTTTGAAAAAACAATTATTATTTATGTTTATTTTAGACTGTATATCAAGTTTTATTAAAGTTATCACAATTAAAGATATATATAATTAATTTTTTGATTTAGCATTTTAGTTTGTTTTTTAATTAATTTATTTGATTTAGTTAAAAATAATCAAATTGAAATTGAATTAATACTAGACTGTCAAAATAAAAAATATTATAATTTTTAGAAATAAATTAATATTTGTAGTTAAATTTTATTAGATTTACCTAATCTTGTCAAAATATATTTTTTTATTTTTAAAAATAATTTAAATAATATTTTTATTATTAACTAAAAGATAAAATCTATTTTTAAAAAATAATAACTTACTCTAATTACTAGTTTTTAATTACAGTTTATTAACACTAAATAACTAAACTTTTTTTATAAAAAAAACTTTCTTCTATTCGTACCTAAAAATATATATCTAAAACTAAAATTTATATTTAAAAAATTTATTATAACTTTTTTACAGTTTATTATTATTATTATTATTATTATTATTAGTATTATTAAATATAAAAATGTTTTAATTAAAAATGTTTATACAAATTAACTTTACATTAAATAAATTCCCTGGTTTTAATAAACATAATTATAATTGATAATTATTTTTTTTTGTTGAAACTATAACCAACCAAATAATTGCATCCATTTTTATTTTGCATATGTATTATGTTTTTAAAAATTTTCAAAAAAATATGTTAAAAAATATTTATGCCTTAGATATTTATAGTGAGCATCAATTTTTGACACTAAAACCTAATATAAATAATATTTTTTTTTTTAAAAAATACATTAGAGTACAGATTTTCAATAAAAAAAATATAAATTAGAAATAGAAATCATAACTTTAAATTAATTATTTATTTTTTATTTAAAAATAATTTAATTAATAAAACTGAAAAAAATATTCATATCCTATCTATAAATAAAACTGTAAATAAAATATAATTTTTTTTAACTGATTATTAAAAATATATTAATATTTTTTTAACATATTGATTATACTTCATATATTTTATTTAAAAAATTTATTAAAATATAAATTGTTTTAATAAAATTATTAGTTTATTCTATTTTGTTATTTAAAAAAAATTAGTTTATTATTTAATTTTTTTAATAGATATTTATTTGTATATATAAAGCTATTTTTATTTTATTTTTTAAATATCCCATCAATGATACACTATTTACTAATTTCAATCAAACTGTAACCAAACTTATATGAATTAATTTATAAAAATGTATAAATTAGGTTAAACAAATGGCATTTTTTATTTTTACATTTTATTTTAAAAATAGTAATTCAAATTATAATAAATAATTAAGTTATAATATTGACTATCCTATTACTATATGTAAATGTAAAATATCTATATATTTTTAGATATTTTCTGTTAAATATTAAAATTAAATAACTTTAATATATATATATATATATATATATATGTATATATATGTTATTCAAAATAATATTTTTTAGTCAATGCCGATTACTAGTATTATTGGCTATAATATTAAAATAAAATATAACAAATAAATGTAAACTAAAATATAAATTAATTTTTTAATTTCATTTTGTAATCTTCTTAAATTATTATTGTAAAATCCCAATACTTATTTTTAATTTTTAATAAATTTGTAAAATTGTAAAAACAGTAAAGAAAACAATTTGTAAACTATTATAATATAATTAAGTTTTATAAATTTATATTTATAGCGCAATAGAAAATATGTCTAAATTTTTTTGTTGATTATCATAAGTTTTATACAAAATAAATTTGTTTTTTTTAATTTTGTAATTTTAGATTAAAGTACAATTTTTTGATATTATGATTCTATCAAAAAATTTTATTATTACAAAAAATTAAGTATTAGTTAATTACCATTTAATTATCAAACATTAATATAATTTAAATTTAAATAACAAAAAAAATTTAATAATTAGTAAGATAGAAATAACTAATTTTGATATAAACATTTAAATATGTAATAATTTAATAATTTTTTTTAAATATAATAACTAAAAGTTACTAATATGTAATCTAAATTGTTTTGAAATTATTATTTTTGCGTTTTACAAAAAATATCTGGGAGTCTGAAAAAAATACCAAAAATCTCTGTATATACTAAAAAGCATTTTTAAATAACTTTTACAGTTTATAAATAAGTAAAATTCCTATCTATAGTCATATCCTATCTTTAAATAAAACTGTAAAATAAAGAATAAATCTTTTTTTTAAACTAAATATTAGATATATATTAATAATTTTTTATTTAATAGATTATTCTTAATATATTTTATTAATAATTTATTAAAATATAAACTGTTTTAATAGCATTATTAATTTATATTATTTTGTTATTTTTTAAAAAAGTTTATTATTTAATTTTTTAATAGATATCTATTTGTATAAAGCTATTATTATTTTTTTTTTTAAATATTTTCATCAATCATATACCATTTACTAATTTCAATCAAACTGTAATCTCTAAATTTATATGAAATAATTTATTATATAAATTAACTTATAAAAAATATGAAGTGTTTTTTAATTTTTACATTTTAATTTAAAAATAGTTATTCAAATTTTAATAAATAATTAAGTTATAACATTGACTATTCTATTGCTATATGTAAATGATATATATATATAAAATTAATAAAAAAAACTGTTAACTAAAATATAAATTTAAATTAAGTTTTTGTTTTATTTGTAATCTTTAGAATTCATAATTTTTTATATAAAGTTAATAAATTATAGAAATGACAATTGTAAAATTCCAATATTTTTATTTTATAATAAATTTTTTTTTAAAAAAACAGTAAACAATTTTTAAAATATAATGATATAATTAAGTTTATAAAAAAATATTTTTAAATATAAAAAACGATAATATGTTAAAAAATTTTTGTTAATTATAATAAATTTTACTAAAATAAATTTGAACACTATATAAGCAGTAATTAAAAAAAATAGATTAAAGTACTATTAATAGAAAAAATTTCATATGAGTTTAATCAAAACTTATTAAAAATATTTTATAGTACTATATATTTTAAATAAAAATTATAATTTTAGAAAATATTACTGTTTTGAAGATATAAATAATAAAAATTTTTATTAATTTAAAAATATTAAAATTAATTATATATTTTTCATTTAAAAGTTTTATTTATATAACTATAAATTTTGTTTACAATAATTAACATAATTTTATATAATCATAATTTATTTCTGCTAATTGAAGATAAAAATTAATCAAACTTTAACTAAATAATAGCCAATTTATTTAACAAACATATTAACACAGTTACTACAAAAACATTACATTACAGAAACTAATTACTAAATTTAATAATTAACTAATTAATTTACTAATATATTTTTTAATTAATTTTTTAACATTAAGTAATAATAATAATAATAAATTTTCAGAGAATTTTATTAATATTTTGTTTAAATAAAACTTAAAAAATCGTATTATGTAATTAAAAAAAACTGTAAACTTAAAATATAGTTTAAAATTAAATTTTTATTAGAAAATTTTATTTCTGAAACCCGATGCGCGATGTATTTAATTACATATATATATTAAATTATTTATTAATTTTTTTTAATAATTTTTAGTTTTTTTTATAGATTTGTATAAAGTTTTTGGGCCATCCCTTACCTGGACCTATGTATCTATGTATAGGCCAATGACTATTGAATAGTTTGGCTATTATTAGTTATGCACAAAAAAAATTTACTATAAATTACACTTAAAATTGTAATCATTTATATTAGATTTTTTTTAAAAAAAAAGTTAATAAATATTTACTTTACAATCTTACAATATTTATTTGATTTACAAATTATTTACAAAATATTTACAAAAATATAATTAGTAAATTCCATAAATAAGTAACTGATTTAAAAAAAACTGTAAACTAAAATATACTTTAAAATTTATTGTTTAATATATTTATTAGACACAATTTTTTTTTAGCTGGTCGTTGGGGAGTATTTATTTTATTTTATTTATTTTGTAAACAGTAAATAAAAAATAAAAATTATTAAAAAATTATTAAAAATATATAATTTTTCAATATAACATAAACACTAAATAACTAAATTTAAAAAAAAACTTTCTTCTATTCTAAGCTTTGAAATATATAGCTATAACTAAAATTTATATTTAATAAATTTATTATAATTAATTATACATTTTATTATAATTTAAAAAATAAAAATATTTTTATTTAAAATGTTTAGTACAAATTAACTATATATATTAAATAAATCGCCCGATTTTCATAAACAAATCTATAATTTATTTATTTTATGATTTATAACTATGTTTTAAAAAAATAAAAATGAAAAATAAATTTCAAAAAAAATAAAAAAGTCTTAGATAAAACCAAAAAACACTATACTAATTGATATATATTTAGATTTTTTCTTTTATTAAAATAAAATTACATTAATATATCTATATATTATTCAAACAAATTTTTTAGTCTACTTTTTTGTGAATAAAAAAAATTTTCATTTTAAAAAAATAAAAATATTTTTAATAAAATTATACAAATCAGATATTGTTTTGTTATTGTTATCAAATATAATATATTATTTAATATATAATATACAATATTTCATAATTTATAGTAATACAAAAATGTAATATTGTATTAATATATATAATCTAATATATAAAACTAAATTGTAAATAAAAAAAATATGTTTAAAAATTTGTCTTTAGTTAATTATGCAAATTATTTTTTAAATATTCATTTTTTCAACAATCTATAAAATTATCTATTGCTTAGATTTTTACGATATTATCAATAATATTTATAATATCACCAATGTAAAAAATAAATAATAATTATAATGAAAATATTTGATATTAAATATATATATATATAATAACATAGTTTAGTTTATAATAAATATTGAAATATAATAATATCAAGATATGTTAAAGATTGTTTAAAATTACCAAAAAAACTGTAAAATAGTAAACTGTAAATTAAACTATCTATTAAATATAACTTAGGTTTAAATTTTGAAATAAATTATAAAAGCAACCAGCACCACGAAGTTTTTATATACTACTATTATTATTGTTTTTATTGATATTAAAAATACTTACAAATACTTATATATTAATATACATTAAGTATAATTATTTATTATAATTAATAACTAGTTAGTTGATAAATTTTAAACACACAAAATTGAATATTTTAATAAACTTTTTAGCGTAAAATATAACATTGTTTAAAATATATGAATACTAAACATTATAATTTTCAAAATTATTAATTAATTTTTTATCAAACAAATTAATAAAACTAACTATTAAAGTCAACCAAAAATAATTGAAGTAAAATGGTATAATATTTTAATGATAAATGAAATTATTATTAAATTTTAATTTACAATCATCATAATCGTTTAAATAAATTAATTTAAAACTTAATTAAAAGTAAAAAATTTATTTTTTAAAAATTATTTAATTAATTGATTTTGAAAAATATTAAAATATCATATTTATAAATAAAACTGTATGTAATCTATAAATCTTTATTAAATATAAATAATAGAAATATATTAATAATTTATAGTCTTTAGATTTATTTCTACATATTTTAATAGAATTTATTTAATATAAGAAATAATATTTATTATAAATAATAGTTTTAGATTTGTTAGATAAGAAATTGTAGTTTTAAACTAGTCTAAACTATTTTTTTTAAATAAATAAATAAATTAATTAATGTAATTAATCAATAATTTTAAAAAATTACTAAGTTGTCATAATTATAATGAGTTTCTAATTTTTATTTTTAAAAAATAATATTAAGTTTTACTATTTTAATTAATAAAAATATAAAATCACCAATTCCCTTAATCTGTAATAAAAAATAATGACATTTTATAAATTAATATTTTTGTTTCAATAAAAAAGTACAGTTTTAAAATTATCTAGGTTAATATTTATAATTGAATGTTATAATAGCTTATATTATTTAGTTTGAAATACTATAATATTATAATAGTTATGATATACAACTTACTAAACTTTAAACTTTTTACAATTAATTTAATATAAATTATTAGTATTTTTATTATAATATTAAACACACATTTTTAAAATGTTAAAGTTGAATTAAATTTTTTATAAAATATAATTTATGTATTTTATTGGTTGCTATTTGTAATGGCGGTTAAATTTTTTTGTTATACGTATTTTATTTTATTTGGCTATGACTTAATAGCCCCACACGCCTCACAAAAAATTTTACCCCACAAAAAAATTTTACCCCACAAAAAAATTTTACCCCACAAAAAATCTTGCCCCACATTTTTACCATTATATAATTTTGTCTTATAAAAAATACACAAAAATACATTAATGTGAAAAAGCAATATTTTAATATGGTTTAAAATAAAAGTGTCAAGGTATTTTGTTATGAGATTATTCTATTTGCAATCTTTAATTATTATGTTTATGTTTTTTTTAGATATTAAGGAAAACATTTTTACCGTAATATTTTTTGATTATATTTTTTGTTATATTTTTTAATTTTTTAAATAAAAACACAACTACTAAACTAATTAACTCATTATTATTATTATTATTACATCAAAAACATTAAAGAAATACATTTTTAGTAGAAATATATTATGTTAATATACAGTAATTTACATAAAATAATTAATTTGTTTTCAATATATTAAATTCGTTTATTTAATGATTTTGATGTAAAAATAATAATAATAATAATAATGAGTTAATTATGTTAGTAGTTATGTTTTTATTTAAAAAATTAAAAAATATAATCTAAAAATATAATCAAAAAATAGTATATCAAAACATGGATTTGAACTCTGGTACTATAGGTTTGAATGCGTACACTCTACCATTCGGCCACACTGGTTATGTTGAAAACAACATTTTTTTAATATTTAAATTTTATTTTGTTTTTTTTTATAAACTAATTCAAAAATATAATAAATAATTAAGTAATAACATTGACTATACTAATGGTATTATAATAATTTAAAATATTTTTTAGATATTTTGACAAAATTAGAAACTAAAAAAACCAAAATCCGTTTTAAATATGAAATATTAAATCTGTTTAAAATTACAGTTTAATATACAGTTAATTACTATTATTTACTTTATAAAATAATTTTTTTATAAACTATTAAAACTTTTTTGTTAATGTAATCAACTTATAATTGATAACTATATTATAAATACGTTTTATTTATATAAAATATTTAAAATGTTCAGTTATTAATAACATGCTTAAAAGTATTCAATAATTTATACTATTAAAACTATTTTTTAAATGTTTTAAGAGCTTAACTAATATATTTAAATAAATAAATAGTAATACTTTAAAAAAATTAAACTCATATTTTAAGCTATAATAATTATATATTTATTTGTCCAAAAAAAATTATCTATTAAATTATTTATAAATTTTTTTCAGTTTAAAATAAGTGTATACACTAAAATTTATATTATTATAAATATTATTATTATCTAGCAAGTATGTTTTATATTATAATGGCTTTTATTATTATTATTATTACTTAGATTACTATTTTTTTAAAAATAAGTTATTATAGTATATTTTAAGCAAAAGTAAAAAATGAGAAATGTAAATAAACTATAATTATATTGATATTTAACGAATTAACTAATAATGATAAATTAATTTTTTTAATAAAGATTAAAAATTATTAATTTATATAAAATATAATTTTACATTTAATTGACTGTAAATTTATAAATAAAAATTTATTTTTTATTATTAATTATTTTTATAACATTATATTAGAAAAGGATGAGTAGAGAGTATGAATAAAAAACCAACAAAAAGGCCAACAAAAACCTAAACAACCCGTAGATCACTGGATAACGACTACGACTGTCCACAACATCGATGCGGCCGTCGATGAGTCGACACTAAAGTCGGAACAATCGGTTAGTCCGTCAACGACGACGACTACCGGAGCCGTTATCTTAACTAAGGAACAGTTGAAAAATAAAACCGAAAACACTATACTAATGGACGTAATGAGACTAATACAGCAAAAAGCGCCGGCATTGGCACCGACACTACAACACCGACACCAATTGTTGGCCAAAAAACGATCGTTTGATACACATATTGTGGCCAAACGGGACATACATTATCCGACTAAAAATAATGACCGATATTATGATACTAATAGCCATCACTATAGCCATTATACGTACCGATCGGCGGCCGCCAGTGATGTCCAACACTTGAAATCATCCATACATTCATTGCATCTAATTTTACAATAATATTATTTAATTGTTTGTTTGTTTAATTTTGTTTAATTATTATTATTTTTTTTGAATATATTATTTCATAATTATTAATATCTAATATATATATTAAAAATATTATTAAAAAAAACATTTTATTAAAATGATTTTAGATTTTTAAACTAATAAAAATTAATTTAATAAAATAAACAGTTATGTAAAAAATAATATATTTATATAGATAAATATAATAAACTATTTTATAAAACAAATTATTATTTATGTTTATTTTAGACTGTATATCAAATTTTATTAAAGTTATCACAATTAAACATATATAATTTATTTAAATTTTTTATTATTTTAGATTGTTTTTTAATTAATTAATTTAATAAAATAAACAGTTATGTAAAAAACATAATATTCGTATAGATATATATAATAAACTACTGTTTTGAAGTTATAAATAATTAAAAATATTATTAATTTAACAATATTCAAATTATTTTTGTTATACAATTTAATAAATATATTAAAATAATACTGTAGATTATAATATTTAAATTAATTTTTTTATATTTTTTGATTAAAATTTTTTATTTATTTAACTATAAATTGATTTACAACTAATAACTTACTTATTTTTATATATAATAGTTCATTGATACTAATTTAAGATAAAAATTAATCAAACTGTAACTAATTAATATCCATTTTTTCATTTTTATTTAATTATATGTCTTAAATCTATAACTGTATATATTTTACATGAATGCTATAGACAATAATATGAGACAGTATGAAAAAAAGTAATTTTTTTTCAAAAAAAAGTAATTTTTTTCAAAAAAAAGTAATCAATTTATTACTTTTTTTCATCGAGAGTATGAAAAAAAGTAATTTTTTACTTTTTTTCATTTAATATAATAATATTTTATCAGTTATTTATACTATTAATATGTAATGGTTAATTTAATTTATTTTAACCACTAGTCAACTAGTGACCAATGGTCAACATTTGTAAAAAATAATATAAATAATTAAAAATCATATTTTGCTTTGATTTATTAGTAAATTTATGTTAATTATATTAACATTAATTTTTACTATACATTGACCATTGGTCACTTTTTATCATTATAATTAAAATTTATCATAACTATTACTATGTAATTTAAAATTATATTGTTAATTTTCTTTTTTGGTTATTTTTATTTGTATAGACCAAAAGTGACCAATGGTCAATCTATAACAAAAATTTATATTAATGTAATTAACATTAAATTTACTAATAAAACAAAACAAAAGATTTTTAATTATTTATAATATTATTTACAAATGTTGACCATTGGTCACTAGTGGCCAAAATAAATAAAATGATCCATTACATTTAATATGTAACTTATAATTATATTATATAATAAAATTAACACTATTAACTAAATTATAATTATAAATAATTGATAAAATATTATTATATTAAAAGAAAAAAAGTAAAAAATTACTTTTTTTCATACTCTCGATGAAAAAAAGTAATAAATTGATTACTTTTTTTTGAAAAAATTACTTTTTATCATACTTCCCCCAATAATATCAACAACAATAAACTTTAAATAGCTAAAAAGTAAAATTTTATTGTATTTATTAATAATTAAAGCTTTAAATAATATTTTATCAAATTTATTAAATTACAGTAAACTAAAAATTACTTTAAAATTCATTGTTTAATATTTTTATTAAAGATAATTTTTAGTTCGAGTTATCTTCAATTATATATATTATATTTATTTTAATTTTACTTACATTTTGTAAACTAAATTAAATATAAGTAAATTTTATTTAATATATAATTACAAATTATTAAAAATATATAATACAAATTTTGTAATATCACACAAACAATAAATAACTAAACATTATTTTAAAAAATAATTGTTTTTATAAACGCTATAAATAAATAGCTATAAATAAAATATATATTTAAAAAGTTCTACACTTTATTATTATTATTTAAAATAAAAAAAATATTTTAATTAAAATGTTTAATACAAATTAACTATACATTAAATAAATCCCAGTATTCATAAACAATATTATAATTAATAATTACATTTTTTGAAATTATAACTAACCCATTTTTTCATATTTATTATGTTTTAAAAAATTTTCAAAAAAATTAATATTTATATTGCTCAGATATTCACAGTAAGCATCGATTTTAATACTAAAACCTAATTTAAATAATATTTTTTTTAAATAAAAAATGTAAATTAGAATTAGAAATAAATGTTTTTAATTAATTATTTATTTAAAAAAAAATAATTTATTTAATAAAACTGAAAAAATATTCATATACTATCTATAAATAATAAAAACTGTAAATAAACTATAAATCTTTATTAACTAAATACTAGAAATATATTAATTAGTTTTTTAGCTTATAGTTATACATCATATATTTTAATTAATAATTTAATAAAATATTAAATTAATTTATTATTAATTTAATTTATTATGTTATTTTTTAAAATATAGTTTATTAATGAATTTTTTTAATAGATAATAATTTGTATATATAAATGTATTTTTACATTTAAAAAAATATCCCATAAATGATATATCATTTACTAATTTCAATCAAACTGTAATCTCTAAATTTATATGAAGTAGTTTATTATATAAATTAACTTATAAAAAATGTTATTTAGGTTATAAAAAATATGAAGTGTTTTTTTTTATTTTTACATTTTAATTTAAAAAATAGCTAATCTAATTTTAATAAATAATTAAGGTATAACATTGACTATTCTATTGCTATATGTAAATGATATATATATATATAAATTAAATAATATTAATATATATTATTCAAAATAATATTTGTTTAGTCTACTTTTCAGTTAATGTCGATTACTTGTATTATTGGCTACAATATTAAAATTAAATTAATAAACTAAACTGTAAACTAAAATATAAATTTAAATTAAGTTTTTAGTTTATTTGTAATCTTTAGAATTAAAAAAAATCTAAAATTCACACTTTTTTATATAAAATTAATAAATTATAGAAATAACAATTGTAAAATACCAATATTTTTATATTATTATAAATTTTATAAAAAAACTGTAAACAATTTGTAAAATATAATGATATAATTAAATTTGATGAGAGACGCATTTTTTTTTTATAATTTTTAGTTTTTTTTGTAGATTTGTATAAAGTTTTTGGGCCATCCCTTACCTGGACCTATGTATCTATGTATAGGCCAATGACTATTTCATAGTTAGGCTATTATTAGATATGCAAAAAAAATTTACTATAAATTACACTTAAAATTGTATTACATTTATATTAGATTTTTTTTTAAAAAAGTTAATAAATATTTACTTTACAATATCTATTTGATTTACAAATTATTAATTTAATTATTAAATAATTTACAGTTGCTTATAATTCTAGCAATAAGTAACAGATTTTTTTCAAAAAAAAACTGTAAACTAAAATATACTTTAAAATTTATTGTTTAATATATTTATTAGACACAATTTTTTGTAGATGGTTGTTGGGGAGTATTTATTTTATTTTATTTATTTTGTAAACAGTAAATAAAAAATAAAAATTATTAAAAAATTATTAAAAATATATAATTTTTCAATATAACATAAACACTAAATAACTAAATTTAAAAAAAAATTTCTTCTATTCTAAGCTTTGAAATATATAGCTATAACTAAAATTTATATTTAATAAATTTATTCTAACTAATTATACATTAAATAAAAATATTTTTAATTAAAATGTTTAGTACAAATTAACTATATATATTAAATAAATCGCCCGATTTTTCATAAACAAAACTAAAATTTATAATTTTTTATGATTTATAACTGTTTTAAAAAAATTTTAAAAAATAAAATAAAAATGTCTTAGATAAAACTAAAAAACACTATAATAATGGATATATATTTAGATTTTTTTTATTAAAATAAAATTACATTAATATATATATATATATATTATTCAAGCAAATTTTTGTAGTCTACTTTTTTGTGAATAAAAAAATTTTCATTTAAAAAAAATAAAAATATATTTAATAAGATTATACAAATCATATATTGTTTTGTTATTGTTATCAAATATAATATATTATTTAATATATAATACTCTAATAAATTATTTAATAATGTTTTGTTTTAATAATTATTAAAATAATTTTTCCAAGTAAAATTTAAAAAAAATCTATATTAAAAAAACGTTAAACTTAAAAACAAAAATTATATTAAACAAAATATTTTATTTTTAAATAATTGTTATATAAATATCAGATAGTATTTTATTATTGCATGAAATAAAAGTTGCATTAATTAGGCCCGTGTTATAACCCTAATAATATCATCAATTTTTTTTATATAACACAATATTTATTAAAATTTTTATAAAAATTATATATAAAATAATATTATTAAAATAATATTAAAATTTACAGTTTTTTTTATAAAAATATATAAATATTTTATAAAAACATATATTTATATTCTAATTATTAAGGCCTTATGGATTTAATTGCAGTTAATATTAAAAAATAGTTAATAAAAAATTAATTTATATTTAAATTTTAATAAGTTAAATAATTTTAAGTAAGTAAAATTTTTGTAACAATGCGGCTATTATTTAATAATTATTGATTAGTTATTAGTGTAAAACATTTTTTAAAAATAAATAAAAAAATAAACTAATTAATGTAATTACTACGTTTCATAATTATAATAAGTTAAAAAAAATAATACTAAGTTTTAGTATTTTAAATAATAAAATTTAATTTTGCCTTAGTCTAGTATATACTATTACTTATTTTATAAATAAATATTTTTGTTTAAAATAAAAAGTACAGTTTTAAAATTATTCGAGTTTAATCTTTTAATGATATAATAGATAAAACTTACATTTTATTATAATAATAAAAAACATTTTTTTATAAAATATTATTTATTTATTTTATTGGTTGTCATTTGCAATGATGGTTAATTTTTTTTTGTTAT